TATATATATATATATATATATATATATATATAGAGAGAGAGAGAGAGAGAGAGGAATCTTCGGATGCGAAAAGATTTTCGCACACTAACAGTGCGAAAAGATTTTCGCACACTAACAGTGCGAAAAGATTTTGTGCCGTTGGATTTAACGAACGACAGATGACATGCTCACAGTCCATCACCCCTATTCCCAATGTACTCCACAGACCCATTCGTTAACTCTCTGCCCCCAAACCCTCCTCCCTCTCTCTCCCCATTCCCTCGCCTCCTCCCTCTCCTCCCGTCCCAAGACCGTCGAAGACCCCCTACCCCCTCTCTCTCCCCATTCCCTCGCCTCCTCCCTCTCCTCCCGTCCCAAGACCGTCGAAGACCCCCTACCCCAAACCCTCCTCCCTCTCTCCTCCCTCTCTCTCCAACAAACCCTCCTCCCTCTACCTCTTCTCGCTCGTGACCATCCCATCCCAGGACCCCCACCCCAACTCCGGTTCCAACCCCGACCCCAGCGAACACTCCACCACGACAAGAGAGAGTCTTGAATAAGGTGCGTTTTTGATTTCTTGCTCGATTTAGGGCTTTTTGATGTTGAAATTTTGATGTTTTAGGGAAATTTTGAAATATATATGATTTGTTGTTTATGAAAGTGAGTAGATTTAGGGAAATTTTGATTTATAGCTTCAAAGATGCCTTTTTAATTTTAATTTGTTTATTTGTTTTAGGGACTCTTGTTTATTTGTTTTAGGGACTTTGATTTTTGTCATATATATGATTTTTGAGCTCTTCTTGCTTGATTTAGGGACTTTGATGATGAACACTCCGCCACGACATGAAATATATGATTTGTTGTTTGTGAAAGTGAGTAGATTTAGGGAAATTTTGATTTATAGCTTCAAAGATGCCTTTTTAATTTTAATTTGTTTGTTGTTTTTTGAACTCTTGTTTACTTGGAGCTCTCTTCGTAATTGCAGGTGTTAAGACTGTGAGCATGTCATCATAAATTGACCATCTCAGTTTTGGTGGCGAGTGCTAGGAATTGGAGGGTGGCGTTGCCTAGTGACCCGAAGGAGCTTTATGAATTGGATTTGGGGGAGTATAGCAAGAATGGGAAGTATCGTATTGACTCTACAAGAATATTAAGGTTAGTATCGGAGAAACTCTGTGCATGAAGAGATTGATTTGTGTGTTATGTCTTGTTACTGTAAAATTGGATTTTTGAATAACTGTTTGTTGTTGATGTTTATTTTTGTAGGTAAAAATTATTCTTGATGTTTTTTTCTTGATGTCTGATCCAATGGAAACCGAAGATGGTTGCTCCCATGTTGTTGATGAACAAATCTCTCAGTTAGATAACTTAGTTGTGCCAATTGTTGATGAACACTTAAAACCAAAACTAGGAATGACTTTCGGCAATTTAGAAGACGCTGAAAAATTCTACAAAAATTATGGAAAGACCAGAGGTTTTGATATTCGTAATAGCACAACAAATTATGGGAAGGATAGAGAGTTAATTTGTAAAAGTTATGTTTGTTCGAAAGAAGGAGTGTTAAAGAGCAAATCGTTGGAAATTCGACGATGTGGTACAATTAGAACTAATTGTAAGGCCTTGATTCGCTTGAAATTAGACAAAAACATTGGCAAATGGAGTGTCTACAAGTTCGTGGAAGAACATAATCATACAATTACTTCGCCGAGTAGAACACATTTTCTAAGGGGAAACCGTGAGGTAACAAGTGCGAAGAAGACATTGATAAAGCAGTTTGGAGAGGTGAACATTCCAACAAACAAGCAAATGGCCTTCTTTGAAAACGCTAGCGGAGGTTTTCATAGAGTTGGATGCATTGAGACCGATGTGAGAAATTATGAAAGATATTTGAGAGAGGAGAGGCGCGGTCATGATGCACAAATGATGTTGGATCATTTCAAGTCGGAACAAGAGAAGAATCCTTCATTTTATTATGTTTATGAAGTTGATGAAGAGAAGCGCTTAACTCATTGTTTTTGGGTGGATGGCATTGCTAGAATGAATTATCAACACTTTGGCGATGTTGTCTCCTTTGATGCCACGCATAACACAAATCAATATGGCTTGGTATTTGTGCCGTTTGTAGGCATAAATCACCATTGGCAAAGTGTTTTTTTAGAATATGGCTTGATCCCAAACGAAGAGGCAAAGTCTTTCGTATGGTTGTTTAACAAATGGATTGAAGCAATGGGTCATCCTCCTTCCGGCATGATTACAAATCAATGTCTTGGCATAAGCAAGGCAATTGAAATAGTTTTTCCAGAAATTCGGCACAGGTTTTGTATTTGGCATATCTTGGACAAAGTTCTGGAGAAGTTGGGTAAATGGGCTTATAATATGGAATTTATGAAATCTTTCAAAGAAAATATTTGGGACTCCGAGACTGCTACCTCTTTTAAAGAGAATTGGGTTTCAATTCTTAAGAAAAATGGATTGGAAACACATGATTGGCTAAAGGATATCTATGAAATTCGTGAAAAATGGGCTCCAGTTTATCATAAAAAACACTTTTGGGCCGGAATGTCTAGCAGTCAAAGAAGCGAAAGGGTGAATGCATTGCTAAAAATGCATGTATCAAGGAAAAATTCACTTCATGATTTCGTGACCATCTTTCAGAGGGTCTTGGCGAGACAAAGAGAGAGGGAGCTTAAAGAAGATCATTACACAGTGGAAAAAAGCCAAAATTGAAGACTTTGTGGTCAATGGAAAAACAAATGGCCCAAATCTACACAAAAAAATCTTTTATATTTTTCAAGACGAGCTTCAACCTAGCTTAATGTATAATATTGAGCTAGTAAAAGAAAATAAAAGAGAAAGTACTTTCCAATTGAATTTTTGTGGTCATGATGAAAGATTGAGACATATTATATATTGCAAAACAACTAAAATGGTCCGTTGTTCGTGTCTCATGTTTGAATTCAAGGGCATTCCATGACGACATATCTTGGCATATCTTAAAATTACCAATCATAGTGAGTTACCGGAGCAATCTATTCTAAGAAGATGGTGTCGAAATGTCAGAAAAATGGTTGTTCTTAGAGATGGTAATATTATGGAGATAATGCCACAATTAATTTTGCTTCTCGTTTTAGTGAACTAAATTTCTTAGCTAATAAAATGGTCGAAGATGGGATATCTTCTAATGACGCATATGAATTAATGCGTGAAATGATGATGGATGCTATTAATAAGGTGCAACGTTTGAAACTCATCAATGATGAAGAAATTGGACAAGATGTGGAAGGATATTATATGAATGCGGAGTGTTCTCAAGATGTAGTTCATGAACCAAGTCAAGCAAGAACAAAAGGAAGGCTTAAAGGG